TGGTGCCATCTCCACAGTCCTAGCTGTGTTGGAGCGCATTGTTGCACCACTGTCTCAGTCCATCTTGTTGGTGGTCGTCTTTTTGGCTGACCCTCTGCCAAGTATGATGTCCTACTCCAGGTCCCTCCTGGTAACACGTCCGATGCATATGACATGGAATCTCACCATCCTTGCTTCTAAAGATCATTCGAGCTATGCTTCTACCAAAACTGATGCATTCATTCTTCTGATCGTCCATGGCATATTCAGTGTTCTCCAGCAATGTTATTCAGAGGACTCGGTTGGTCTCTGGTTTTCAAAAGACACTTAGTATATTTATTTTGGTACTTCTTTGTCCATGATCCTTTTTAAGCAGGTTGTCATCCTTTTTATCCTTTCCAGTTGTTGTTGTTGTTGTTACTGTTATTATTTGGTAAACACATCAGTTAAGAATAGCTAACGATTTTTATTTCCTGGGGTAGCACTGTAGGATAAGCACTGGGCCACACGTCGGTTTGAACTGTGGGGTCAGTGGTTCAAATTCACAAGCTATTCCTTGGAAAACCTATACAGGGTTACTATAAGTTGAAACCAACTCACAACAACAGTGATTTAATTTAAGAAGTATCATTATGGGTCATTCTTTAGAGTTTGTTTAATGCCATTGTTCATAGCATCTAATCGCTGTACAGTAGGATATTTATCATACCTTTTTTGAGCCTCATGGGTCTTTGTTGTTGTTGTTAAGTGCTTTCGAGTTAGTTCCAACTAGTAACTACCCTGAATAGGGTTTTTGAGGAGTGACTGGTAGGTTTTAACTGCCAAACTTGGAATTAGCTGTCCAGTGTTGCTTTTACAGAGCCACACCAGGACGGAAACCTCGGCTTATTCTTGTATTTTTTATGCAAATTATCAAAACAAAGCACTATGATAGAAACTGCTTGACCCACTTTGGTGCTTTCCTTGGGCTGGTGGAAGTAGTATCGTGGGCTGTTTTTAGAACTAATGTATTGCCATTCTTGTTTTTTGTGCAAAGAACTAACTTACAGTTGAAGTGGTGCTACATAAATTGAGAAGTAATATGTTCCATTTAAAGTTAACTGACACAAATTTATAAAATACTGGTTTTTGAGATTATTCTCAGTCCTGGTGTGGCGCTGTGTTTTAATACGCTGAACTGCAAGGCCAGTGGTTCAAGCTCACCAGCTGCTCCTCAGAAACCCTATACAGTATGGCTATGAGTTAGAACCTACTTGATGCCACTTAACAACAACAGTATTGACTGATCCATAAGATACACAAACTATTTTCATGTTGTTGTTGTTAAGTGCCATCGAGTTGGATCCAACCCATAGCGACCCTGTACAGGGTTTCTGAGGAGTGACTGGTGAGTTTGAACTGCCGACCTTGCAGTTCAAACGTCTTTGCTGCTATGTTGCTAATGAGGCCTGACCCAAATCATGGTATTTTCAATAACCTCATATGCTTGTGAAAGCTGCACAGTGAATAAGGAAGACTGTAGAAGAATTGATGCCTTTGAGTTATGGTGTTGGAGGAGAATATTGAAAGTGCCATGGACTGCCAAAAGAACCAATAGATCCATTTTGAAAGAAGTGCAGCCAGAGTGCTCCCTGGAGGTCAGGATGGCCAAACTTCATCTCTCATACTTTGGACATATTGTCAGGAGGGACCAGTCACTGGAGAAGGATATCATGTTTGGTAATGTGGAGAACATGCTAAGGAGTGATTAAAGGAGCTCTGGCAGTGGTTATAGGCAGCTAACATCAAGTTCAGCAGTTCGAAACTACGAGTTGTTCCTCAGGAGAAAGATGAGGCTTTCTGTTCCCATAAAGATTTACAGCCTCGGAAACCCTATGCAAGGTTCCTATGAGTCAGAAATGACTCTACAGCACATCACCATCACCACAGAGTTTACTTTAGACTTAGATACATCGTGTTACAGTTTAATGAATGGAACTAATGCTTCTATGAAATGTGAGGTCCATATGTGCCGGCATAGGGAACCAACCAGTTAAGCTACTTGAGCCTTGGAGGTGAGAGTGTGGGGGTGGGCTGTCACTCATTCAGGTAGCTGTAATGTTGTTGTTTTTTTTAATGTTTTATTGTGAATTGTGTGATAGTCTACATGGGAGAACATCAGCTTATCATTCATTCCATCATCCATCACTTCATTGGCATAGTTATCATCCTGTCAGCTGTAATGTTTTAAAATGGGAATCTCTTTAAAGAATGTGCATAAGGTTGCTATGAGTCCGTACCGACTCAGTGGTACTAACGACAGCTGTTGTTGCTGTTAGGTGCCGCCGAATCAGCTCTGATTCACAGCAACCCAGTGCAGAACAGAATGAAACACTACCTGATCCTGCACCAGCCTCACCATTGTTATGTTGAACCCACTGTTACTGCCACTGTGCCAATCCACCTTGTTGGGGGCCCTCCACTTTTTTGCTTATCCTTTACTTTCCCAAGAATGGTATTCTTTTCAGTGACTCATCTCCCCTACAACATGTCCAAAGAATGAGACAAAGTCTTAATATTCTGAGTTCCAAGGAGCATCTGTTGGCTGCTACTATAGCCAAGAAGCCCTGGTTATAATAGTAACTGCAAGGTCAGCGGATCAAACCCATCAGCCACTCTGAGGGATAGAAATGAGACCGTAGCAAATCTGCTATACAAGGCGTCTCTTAAGTGTTGAAGAGCAAAGATGTTAGTTTCAGGATGAAGGTGCACCTGACTCAAGCCATTGTGTTTTCAATAACCTCGTATGCATATGAAAGTTGGACAATGAATAAGGAAGACTGTACAAGAATTGATGCATGTAAGATAAGGTGTTGAAGAAGAATATTACAAGTATCATGGACTGCCAAAAAAACAAATAGATCTGTGTTGGAAGAAATACAGCCAGAATGCTCCCTGGAAGCCAGGATGGCCAGACCTATTATCTCTGGAGAAGTATATCATGTTTGTTAGAGGGTTGGAGGAAACAAGGAAGACACCCTCAATGAGATGGATTGGCACAGTGACAGCAGCAATGGGCTCAAATGTAGCAATGATTGTGAGGTTGGCGCAGGACTGGGCAGTGTTCTGTTCTGTTGTGCATAGGGTTGCTGTGAGTCGGTACCAGTTTGAAGGCATGTAACACCACCAACATGTTGTGAATTGAGTGAAGGTTTACAGAGCAGATCATTAGTTTAGTTGTATTTTAAGTCAGTCATACAGTGGGTTTGTTTCATCTCAGTTGCAATCCCTTGATGTAATAATACTGATCCCACATCCTGTATTTCTTATACAAATACCTTCTGTCAAATCCTTTATATATTTGTTGGTATTCTCCTGTGTCCCTCCCACAACCTATTTATCGATTCCATGTATTTACCTGTAAATCAGTCTTATTGCAGGATTGTGTGTATAACAGTGCTTACCTTTTATGCACTTTAACTCTGGTACTCTTCCATGTCTGCCAGTCATCATCAATTTTCTGCCAACCTCCCTCTTGTTGTATATTGCCTTCCCCATCATCCAAGCTGACATGTGTCTACCCTCTAGCCAGAATTACTCTTATTTCCCTCCACCCCTGGTAACCATCAAAGAATGTTTGTTTTGGGTTCATGCGAAAAGCTTTTTTCGCCTTTTTGCAGTAGTGGTCTCATACAATATTTGTCCTTTTATGATTGACTAATACCTCATAACACGGATGTCTACTACCAGGTTCCACCATGTTATGAGTTATTTCACAAAATCATCCTAATTCTTCAATGCTGCTTAGTATTTAATTGTGTTCATGCACCAGAGTTTATCCATTGAAAGGCATTTAGGTTGTCTCCATCTTTGTGGCTAGTGCTGCAATAAACATGGGCATGTATATATCTGTTTCTTATAAAAAAGACAAAGATTTCTGACTTCCCTAGAATACATACCAAGTAGAGGGATTGCTGGGTGATATGGTATTTCTAACTTTCTGAGGAAGCGCCATATCATTTTTTAAAACAGTTTTTATTGTAAATTGAGTGGTAGTTTACCTGCGAGAACATCAGTTTTATACTCATCCTATAGTGCGTTGTTTCATTGCAATGACTGCAGTCCCCTCCGTGCATCATCAGTCAACAGCAGTTGCTTCCATTTCCCCTTTTTTGTTAATGTACGCAGAGACACTCAGGAATCTGGAATCCTTGAAACAACCAAAGGCGCCATTATCATTTTCCTTAGTGGTGGCCTCTCAATAGCGTAGGAAGACTCCCATTTCATCACACGCTCGCCATCATGTGTTGTTTTCTGTTTCATTAAACTTTGCTATTACTGCTGGGGTGAGATGACATCTCACTGTTGTTTTGATTTGCATCTCTTTAATGACTAATTAGCGTAGTGGTTACGGCTAACCTCAGAGTCAGCAGTTCGAAACTACCAGCTGTTCCGTGAGAGAAACATGAAGCTTTCTGTTCCTGTAAAGATTTGCAGCCTTGGAAACTCTGTGCAAGGTCGCTATGAGTCAGAACCAACTCCATGGCACGTAATGACAACGACGACTAATGATCGGGAGCATTTCTTCAACAAATGTGTTTTCTTGTCTTTGGGAGGTCACCATTTTTATAGCAATCTTACGTGCCCTAAGCCTGGCTTTTTATCACTGAGACAATCTCAGTGTGAAACAAGTTGAGGGTTACTCCACTGGAATAAATAATCAGTGGGGCTATAGGATACTGAGAATTGGGGGAGTTGGGGTTACTTGAAACACAAAAAAGGGCTTACTGGTGACAGAATGAAGATGTAAGACTCAAGAGAGATCTGTATTAGTATCAAGGATACATTATGCTATGGATATGCAGTGAAATCACAAATAGTGTTATTGATTCAGGGAAAATAAATAGAACAATAGTCAGTGGGCATTACTGGGTGTAGAGTAAGCTAAATAATAACAGTCACTCTTATATGAAGTGACAGTTTCATGTTTTCCTCCATTCTTTAAATGTTTATAACTCTGGATTCTCCTTTTACATTAGCAGATGAACTCTGGTCAGCGTAGAGGGGATAGACCTCTTGTGCTTATAGGCAGTGGCCTTTCCACAGAACAGCACAGCATGCTCAGTGAGCTTGCAGCAGTTCTTAAGGCTAAAAAATGTGCTGAGTTTGACAGTACAGGTAAGGGTTTTTATTGACTTATCCTTTCTTGTTTTTGGGGTTTTTTCCCCACGTTTAGTCTTAGAAGTGGGTTTTCCCTGATGGGATGACTAGTCTTGCCTTGATGCCTCCAACGTATTTGTCTTTAAGTCGGATTTTTTAAAAAAGGATATAACCCCTTAAGAGGACTCCCTTTGAAAATGTATGTGTGTTTTAGAGATTGGGATTTGACTGTATAATACGAGGAGGCTTCAAAAAGTTTGTGCGAAAAATGGAATTAAAATATAATATTTTTCCATGAAATTATTGAATCCCCATTGAATGCATCTTAAAATCAGTTTTAATTAGTTGTATCATTATAAGTTACTTTTAGGCTTAATGTAGTTATAAAACTTAAAGTTTATTTGCACATGTTTTAGGACAAAACAGTATGTCAGAAAAGCAGATTTATGAATTTGTTAATGACAACTAAATTGTAGTGTGATGCGTTGCTATAATTCCATAGCTGTAAGTTGAAAATAAAAGAAAAAAGTGTGTTTAATAATGTGGCATTAAGATATATGGTTTATGATCTAACAAATGTATGTTGATGACCTGGTTAGAGAATTAATTATGCTAAGTAAGTCTTGTACCTAAGTTTAAGAAGTAATGCCTCTGAAGTACATTTGGGCGTTAGTTTGTAAAATATAGTCTAATTCATTTATAAAGCTCAGTTAGCTGGTTATGGGTGAGAGCAGGCTACTTAGAGACTCTGTTTGTTTATCTCTGTGTTTCCCCTGCTGCTTTTGTATTCTAGTCACTCATGTCATTGTTCCTGGTGACACAGTTCAAAACACCCTGAAATGTATGCTTGGGATTCTCAGTGGATGCTGGATACTAAGATTTGACTGTAAGTATTTGTATTTGGGAGAATCACAACATAAATTAGGTAAGGCTGCCAATAATTATTTAAAGAACGTATGCTAATTCGTCTTACCTCTGGTTAGTCACTGCAGTTTGAAAAACTTCTCATATTAATGCTGTAATTTAGATGTTCTTGGTAACTGTCTGCACATATGTCCTGGTTTTAAAGGGTTTTTTCCCTACTATGGCAGCTATGTTAATAAGGAATAAAAGGACTTATATAGCAGACTTTTAAGCATCATCAGTCTATATTATTGTTATAGACCAAAAAAATCCCCAAACCTGTTGTCATCTAATCATTTCTTGACTAGTGAGTCATGTAGGGCAGAGTAGAGCTTCAGCGCTGCAGCTCGTATTTTCAACTGCCAACCTTTCTGTTAATAGCCAAGTGCTTAACCACTGGGCTGCACAGGCTCCTTTATGTGCTATATTAAACCTCTTAATAAACCCATATTTTAAATGTATTGCAGTGTAGGTGTATGAAATGGGAATTATTTATTTATTTATTTATTTTAATTTACCTGTATAACATCCTTTTTGCTTACTTAGCCGGTTCAGTGTATTTGACAGCTTTGGGGAATATAGACTGCCATGTACTACCTGACTGGGAGTGACTGTTCTCCCCGTCAGCCTGTTCTTGGTAGTCATACACCTCAGAACTGCCTGTTTTCACCTCCCCTGATGCTCATATGTTTGCCTTTCTTCATCTCGGATCTACTTTTTCTAGGATTTAAAGCAAAATAAAAAGAAAGCTCATACAGGGTTATTTTCTACTATCCAATCACCGAATAATCTACTTTTGATTGTATGGCTAAAATTGGACATTTGAAGTGGCCTTTTTTTGGTTAGCTAATTGTTTAGCAAACAATAGTGGCTTTAAAAGGGATGACAGTGAGGGACTCTTGTGATGCTATAGTTAGGGGCTCCTGACTATAGGTGCATATAGCTACATATGTGGTCAAATTACATCGAGTCCTGGTGTGGCGCTGCAGTGGAATGAGCTGGACCACAAGATCAGTTTGAACGCAACATTGCTATGGGTCAGAACCATCTCGACACTTAACTACAACAGCAACCATACGCAAACACAAGTGCATGTGTGTATAACTGATGAAGCCTGAATGCATCTCAGGAAAGCTATTCATATTAATTTCTTGGCCTTCATAGCTACATGCATACACACACACACACACACACACACACACACCCCAGTGTATCCACACACAAGTGCCTGAATAGCCAAAGCTGAGTAAGTCGTATGAATTGCACCATTGCCACTGTCTTGCCTTTTATATGGTACCACAGTTGTGTAAGACAGAGAGACATGGGAGATACTGGTGGAAAGTGCATGCAACTTCCCCATCCATTTCTTTACAGTCCCCTGTGAATCTATAATTATTTCAAAATAAAAGGGTTTAAAAAAAGAAAAGTGGGTATTTTTTATGACACTTTTCTTTTTAAGAAGCAAATAATGGATTAAAATAGGTTTTTATAAACTGTTTTACAGCTTCCCTGTGAAAGTTTTATGGTACAAGTGCTTGATTTATCAAGATCTTAATTATTAATTTAATGTTTAGTTTGACGTTGATTTGGTTTGTAGAGCAGTTTTTTTTCCAGCAATTGATATTCATGTCCTGTTTTAAATGCAGCTTCTTTTCGTCTTTGCTGATGCTGTCTGAGCCAGTGAAACAGCTGTGCCTAGCAATCTCTGTTGGTTGGTTACTTAGAACAGGGTTGTTTTTATTTATTGATATTTTTTATTTTATTGTTGTTGAAAATTCACAAGCAAAACATACACCAATTCAACAGTTTTTACATACACACTTCAGTAATACGGAAAACATTTTTTGAGTTTTGTATTCATTCTTAGTCCCCTTTTCTGAGTTGTTCCTCCTTCATTTGCACAAACTCACCAGTGCCTCCTAAGCTTCCTGTCTAATCTTCTAGATGCTGTTGTCCATTTGGTCTCATATACATAGTTCTTCAGAGACAATAATGCTCAAAGCAGATACTATTTACTAGCTAAGTGAAAGTATTGTGTGGTGCTAGGACGCCTTCCTCAGTCTCTGTTAGTAGTCCTTCCAGTCATTACCAGTTGAAGAAGTACGATTAGCAGTGGAACTGATTGGCCCTTTATATAGAAAATAAAAGTTTTCCACTGTGTCACAGTCTTATTTTTGTACCTTCTTTTCCTTTCAGAGCTGCAGCAAATCTTACTGAGCCTTAATGTTAAAAAAAGAAATTCATTTAAAATGGTTCCGTGATTATCGATGCTTTTGTACTGAACTTGCACTAGTGAGTGTGGGAGGGAATCGATTTTCATAATCACGAAGTCTCAGTCAGAAAGAAGCAATAGGAAATTTTGAATGTTAAACCATTTGCCATTCAACTTTGAACCGAGTTCTTGTGAATATGCTGAACTTGCACTTGGTTCTGTATACCGGCTACATGATTCATTTCCATAAAATTTGCCTTCTTTATGAAATGAAAGTTTTCTCACTTTAATGGCTCGGCCATGTCATTTTTATAGAACCATTGGCAGACTCAAACTGACTTAATTGTGTGATATTTGGTGATTCTCACAGTGCTGAATAACATATTCTCAATGGCTCTTGGAGAATAAAGGATGAATGGAATTGCTTTTTGAAGTTCATATCCCCATATTTTCTAGAACAGAATCCCAAGAGAAATAGGTTCAAGGTTTGGAACAATTTCTTTGGATAGTTACTGGGGTTTATAAGAGGAAGGCAAAAACCCTTAAATAACTTCTTCCCTAATATGTATTCCTATCAGTTTCTGTAGCTTTTCAGTACCAATCATCTCAGTTTGATTTAAAAAAACATGTTTCAGAACTATTCAAAAACTATATTTAAAAAAAGTTGGAGTATACCAAAGTTTTCAAAATTAGTTGTAAAGATTTATGGCATTTTTTAAAACTAGGCCTTGTGCTTGAGGATATCGGTACTTCATAGTAGACAAAGCCTGAACTAAGTTACCTACATAGGCACCTTAGTATTAATGTTCCATGGAATTTTCCAGAAATAAGTTAGGTTCATAGGAAGTTATATATGAAAAAATTTTTTATAGTTGTCTAAGATAATTGACTCATTTACACAGATTGACAGAAAGAAGTCAGATCCTCTGGTTCCAAAGTTTTCTGTTTAAATGTCTTTAGTCTTAGTTGGATAAAGTCTCTCTTTTTCAAGGTGGGTGGTTCAAACCCACAAGCTGCTTCTTGGAAACCCTATTCGATATGAGTCAACTAACTCGATGGCACTTAACATCAACAATGCATGTGAAGTATCCTCATGGGTTGAACATGCAGATTTGTGAATAGACTGTAATTAATACTGTCATGTCAGCCATTCTTTCTCACCATCACTATCTTACAGATATTCTGTTTTATACATATGAGGGAACTTCAAAAGCTCATAGAAAAATTCCATTATTTTTTCATTCCATTTAACATGAACATTTTGAAGTCCCCTTGTATTGTTCATAAATAAAAATTCGAGCTAAGAGTTGCTACTTTAAGGACAGTTTTGTGCTAAGATTCTGTTTTAACTCGCGTTTTTGGTGGCATTACCTCACGTACAGGTACTTGATAACCATCCATGTACAAGGGTGATCTTTAGCAATAACCAGAGTGACTTAGGCTGAAGAAATAGAAGATAGATAAATAATTCCATCTCTTGGGGAGACTATAGATAAGGTAAAACTGTATCCTAAAGATGCAAATTAGTCTTCAAACATAAAATATCTATTGTTTACATATTCTTTAGTATCTTTAGCAACTTCTTTATCTTAATTCTGCTTTCTCATTCTGCACATCATTGTGAAGGGATGAGCGTGGACTGCCATCTTTTCTTGAGTAATCTCCTCCTTTTCCTCACCCCCATTGAAGGTTAGATAAAGTCGCAGCTGTGGAAATTATAAAAGCCCTCATAAACCTAAGGAAAGGAGCTCTGGTAGCATAGTGGTTATGAATCGGGCTGCTAACCTCAGGGTCATCAGTTTGAAACTACCAGCTGTTCCACGAGAGAAAGATGAGGCTTTCTGCTCCCATAAAGATTTACAGCCTTGGAAACCCAGTACAGGGTTGCTATGAGTCAGAACCGACTCCATGGCACATCACAACAACAAACCTAAGGGATTTTCTGGAGGAATGCATCCCATGTTTGACTTTGAACTTAGGTCAGTGAGATGGTGAGTGCAATAGGATGTTTGTATTTTGTTTCTAGTTGAGCAGAAATCAATCTAAAAATTCTCTAAGAATAAAAATATATCAACATACTTGGATCTACTAATCCCATTGTTGAGAATTTACCCTAAACAAGTAATATAGAAGAAATACATGATTTACAGTATTCTTTTTTAAAGCACTTATACACAGTGGGTAAGCACTTGATTGGTAACTCAAGGTTGACAGTTTGAACTCACCATCGGCTCTATGGGAGAAAGATGCAGCAGTTTGTTTACATAACAGTCACACAGCCTTAAATACCTAGGGGTAGTTCCACTGTCCTATAAGTGTATGGATTAGAATTGAATCAGTGGCAGTGGATATTTCTAATAGCAGGAAGTAGCAGAGTATCCTAAATTTGAGAGTAACAATTGTGGAATTCTCTAAGATACTCTGTAAAAAAAATGCATATGCTTAGAAGATAAATAAATGTTAAGAGTAAATTATTTTGAAGAAATAAGATTGTTCACATTTTTTAAAAAAGCATAAAACAAGTATATCTCCACACCACAAGGTGTTTAAACACCACAAGGAAAATAACAAAAAGAAAACAGTGTTAAATTAGTAGGTTACCAAAGAGGTCTGTTTCTCAATGTCTTTAACAGTTTTACAAACAATGTTTGCTTATTAGATCAAATTCAACACAGAGGAAGATGTTCTGACCTTCTAGGGAGGGGCATTCCTTCTCCCTTTAGACAATTAACAAAACTCTGTTATAAAACTTTAGTCCATCTTCATTGTAT